CTACAATCACAAAACCAGTCAGTGGGGACAAGAATGGAGATACCCAGGTGGTTAAGCTTTAAAAAATGCCTAGATAGTACCCTACTGAAGATGTGCCCTGAAAGCTTTTGAGTCACAGCAAGAACCCCTTCAGTCAGCATGTGCAGAAACTTTGAGCTAGCATCACTCCCAGCACCATCTCAATCATCCTCACTGGGTATTACAGAGGCAAGAGGGTGGTCTTCCTGAAGTAGTTGGCCCGTGGCTTGCTACTTGTGACTGGGCCTCTTAGCCTTAATCGTGTTCTTCTATGAAGAACACACCATAAATTTGTCATTGCCATCTCTAAAAAAATCAATATCAGCAAAGTGAAAATCCCCAAACACCTCAGTGATGCTTACTTCAAGAAGAAGAAGGGCTGGTGAGATGGCTCAGTGGTCTAAAGCACCTACTTGGACCAAGCTAAGCTAAGCAAAGCACAGGGACCACGGTTCAATCCCCAGCACCACATGCCAGCCAGCCCCGCCCCCTGGTGGGCTGAGCTGGCCACACACACACACACACACACACACAAAAAAAAAAAAAAAAAAAAAAAAAAAAAAAAAAAAAAAAAGAAGAAGAAGAAGAAGCTGTGGAAACCCAGACACTAGGAGGGTGAGATCTTCGACACCAAGAAAAAGAGATACCAGATTTCAGAGCAGCGCAAGGTAGATCAGAAAGTGGTGGACTCACGGGTTTTAGCAAAAGTCAAAGCTGTTCCTGAGTTCCGGAGCTACCTGCAATCTGTTTTTGCTCTGACTAATGGAATTTATCCTCATAAATTAGTGTTCTAAATTTCTTACTCAGAACCTAATTAAATAACTGATACATTTTTTAAATGAACAACTAAAATGAATAGACACTTTTCAGAAATACAGATGACCAATAAACACGTGAAAAAAATGTTCAGCTTCACTGGCCATTAGAGAAATGCAGATTACAACACTGAGATACCATCTTATTCCAGAAACCACAGCTATCATCATCAAAAAATCAAATAGTACCAAATGTTGGCAAGGAGGCAGGGAAAATGGAATGCTTCCACATTGTTAGTGGAAATGTAAAGTAGTACAAGCACGACGGAGATCAGTTTGGAGATTCCTCAAAACTCTAAAACTAGAATTCCACTTGATCCTGCTATTTCCCTTTTAGGTATCTTCCTAAAAGAGTTAAAGACAGCATTCTACAGTCATGCATGCTTATATAGTAGCACAGTTTATAATAGCTAAATCTTGGAAATGACTTAAATGTCCACCAATAGATGAATAAAGAAAATGTGATATCTCTATACAATAGATTATTACTCGGCCATAATATAGGATAAACGTGAGGTATTTAGGGCCAGCCAAATAGCTCAGAAGATTAAAGTGCCTGCAAGCAGGCTCAGGGCCAGGGTTTTTGATCCCTGGGCCTGCTGTGCCAGCCCCACCCCTGGGGTGCACTGAGATGGCAATTGAGACTGGGTGTGGTGGCGCACGCCTGTAATCCCAGCTCTTGGAAGGCTGTAAACAGGCGGATCACTGCGAGTCTGATCTAATAGTGAGACCCTGAATACCCTGTAGACCTTTCCCTAAAATTAAAAAAAAAAAAAAGAGGCATTTGTAAATATGAAAACCCTGAAGACCATAATGTCAAGTGAAGCAAATCAGGCACATAAGTTCTAAATATTGCATGGTGTTGCTTATATGAGACATCTAAAATATAAAGAGCCAAGTAAGAGATAGATAATAGGAAGTAGGGAGATCTTTTTCAAATGGGAAGGAGAACAAGGGACAGAAGTTGTGAGAAGGAGGGAAGCGAAAGAGGATAAAGGCAGTTTAAGAAAAACAAGGAAATAGAGCGGTTACGTATAGGGAGGGGAGCAAGAGTTGGAGGGAGCAGGGAGAAATGAGAACGAAGTTTCTACACAAGTAGAAACTTCACTATGATAAATGCAGTCATTACGCATTGTGAACGTGAAAATAATGGGGGGGGGGTGAGAAAAGCCATGTCAGAGAAATCAAAATGGAAGTTGAGACTAAATAATTTATGATATAACCATACTATGATGATCTAACCATTAAAAGAAGGACTGTATGCAAGACTGTCTCCAAATTGTAGAGTTGACTGGAAAAAAAACTAGTCATATAGATCATGTTCACATTTATTTTCTAGATAGAATACATATTTATACATCCATATAATGGTACATAGATACATTTCAGAAAGGACACCCCAAAACTTTTGGCAGTAGCAGCAGCCAGGAGAAAGGTTGAAAGGAGAGGGACTCAGTAGACAGAAAGTAGTTTTTAATTATATATCATCTTCACTTTTGGAATTAGTTTCCTTGTGCTTGTATTGCCTTTTAACAAAAATAACTATTATTAAATATGCATTTTAAAAGTAAAGTAATAGTGAGAAGAATGGGTTACAAGTCCTGGTTTGCAGAAATGGAGCAAGTTGCTAAACCTGTCTGTTTCTAGGTAATCCCTGGCTGTCCTCATTTTATTCCATTACTCATGCTTACACAATTTCAGGCAGATGTAGGAGAGATGGAGTCTTCCATATTTCTAAATATCTCTTGAAATGTATCACAGAGATCCCATTAGGCACTCATTTTAGCATCAGCCAAAAGCTTTTCGTCCATCACAAAAAAACTGATTAATGTGTAAGCCAAATATGTATAGTAATAAACTTAATTCTGCTATTTTTGGCATTGTTTTGTTTTGTTTTACAGAACCAGGGATTGAACGCAGGCCGTTACACTTGCCAGGCAAGTGCTTATTCTACTGAGCTATCTCCCTGGCCCCTTGTTTCCTTTTGTATGGTTTGTTTTGTTTTGTTTTTTCAGCC